GCTGCCGCCGCCGCCGCCGCCGCGAAGCGCTGCGCCGCGCACGGTGCCCACCACTGCCGTTCGAGCGAACCGCCGCCGCGTTGCTGGCCCTCTCAGTCGCGACGCGCTCGTCACGGGGTGCAGATCGTACGCCGTTCGTCGCTTCGACACCCTTCGCCGCGCGCAGCACGCGCTTCTCACGCGGACAGTCGTCGCCGTACGTCGCGCGGCGTTTACCGCGTTCCGTATTCGTATCCGTATTATTCGTAACGCGCGATCTCGTCGTGAAAATCGCCACGTTGCCGTCGTGGTCGTTGTCGTCGCGTTTCGCGGTGGTTGGTGGTGGGTGGTTTGACAGTGAAATCTGACTTTTTTCTCTCGGACAACACGCGCCCTCGACGCGATAGACATTTCGGTGAGACTGAGATAAGTGACAGTAGTTGGCAACTGTTAAAAAAAAAATTGAGAGAGAAAAAAAATACAGCGAAAGGGAGAGCAAAGATCAATCAAGTGTGCCGCGTGGTACATCGAAGTAGGGACGTAATTATCTCTCTCCCCCCCCTCCCCCGTGTCGGGACTGTCCTGATCCCTCGGGAGACTCCCTGTCGTGTATGATGCTTCGTAGGGGGAGACAAGGCGAACTCTAACTCTTTCGGAAGAGCGGTGGAAGTGGATTCAGAGAGTACTCGAGTTCTACGGTATATTCTTATCCGAGCCACGTTTTCGGAGCTAGGCTGAAAAGATGCTCGACCGCGACGTCCCAACGGGACGATGACGCCCGCGTCGATTCGCGTCTGACAGGTCCGCCGCGCACGTTGCCACGAGGCGCGCGGATAAGACACTCGTACTCTTCCCGCGTCATTTCGCGCGGACAACTGGAGGTTTTGCGTGTGGCTGTGCATGTGTGTGTTGCAGATGCGGTCTCGTTGCTGATCCGATCAAGGTGAACGTTGCCGAGAAGCAGAGGCGAGACGCACCACGAGGAGGCGACTGGAGGAAGAGACGAAAAGACGAGGAGGAGGTGGAGGAGGAGGAGGAGGAAGAGGAAAAACAGTGGAGAAAGCGTAAAAGGAAAAGCTCGCCTGGCGAAGTACAGGAAGCCGACGAAGGCATTCCTCTTCGAGAGAGACAAGACGAGCGGAAGCTCCATCACGTGCGATCATGACGCAACAAAGTGGAGCTGGGTCACCCCAGCAGTTCTGCCTGCGCTGGAACAATTATCAGACTAATCTGACCAACGTCTTCGATCAGCTCTTACAGAGCGAAAGTTTCGTGGACGTAACCCTGGCCTGTGACGGGCACAGCGTCAAGGCCCACAAGATGGTCCTGTCGGCCTGCAGCCCGTACTTTCAGGCGCTCTTCTTCGACAACCCCTGCCAGCATCCGATAGTCATCATGAAGGACATCAAGTGGCCGGAGCTCAAGGCCGCGGTCGAGTTCATGTACAAGGGCGAGATCAATGTCTCCCAGGAGCAGATCGGACCGTTGCTCAAGGTCGCGGAGAGTCTCAAGATCCGCGGCCTCGCGGACGTCAACAGCGAACAGGAGCTGACGTCCAGGCCGACTCTGGAGGAGGTTGCGACCGCGGCGATGCAGCGGAAGAAACGTCGCCGGATATCCGGCGATCGCTCGCCATCCGCCAACAGTCCGGAGCGTGTCGGCTCCGGCAGCATCGGCCCCGACGACGACGTCATCGGTAGTAACATCATAGTGCCCGAGATTCACAGCATGGTGCCGTCGACGGCCAGCTCGACGCCGAGATCCCTCGGCTCGCCCAGCACGCCCAGCATCTCCGTCACGCCGCAGATCAACCTGCAGGAACTTCCGGTCTCGTTACCTTTACCGCCACCCCCGCCGCCACCGCCGCAGGGACAGCAGAGCTCGCACCCCCTGCCGACCCACCACGTGCCCGGCCACGTGACTTCCGGTCCGCACGCGCCCGTCAACCACCTGGGCGCCCACGGCCAACAGCTCAGCGTGCAACAGCAGCAGCAGCAGCAACAGCAACAGCAGCAGCAACAACAGCATCATCAACAGGGCGCCGGCGGTCAACCCGGCGCCGGCGACGACCTCGAGATCAAACCCGGCATCGCGGAGATGATTCGGGAGGAGGAAAGGGTGAGTCGAGTTTTTTTTATCTCTCCCTCTCTCTCTATCATCTTTTTCCTTTATCTGTAATAACGCGTGGGAAACAGTTTACTACACTTGATACGTTGCGTTTTTCTCGATAATATACGTTGACGTCTCTGCGAAAATCGTCAAAGAAATGATTAATGCATTAGCCTGCAGAACGCTATGTTAATAGCGTTAAAAGTTACCGAGACGAAATGTGATCACTCTTTTTCCGTGATTCATGTAAGAATTAAATCAAATCTGTGTTGAATGTTAAAAGATTCAAACGTATCGATAATCTTCGTTCTAGATCGTGAAAGAAGCTTTTATGCATAATTGTTATATTACGGCGGTATTTTTAATTATTCGTGCGTGTGTATCTGTGAAAATTATTGCTAAATTAATCTTATCGACAAGAGTGATACTGTTTCTTACGATTAATCCTTTTTCTCGGGATGGACATTTGTCTTTGCACGCGTCGGTGCTAATATGTAATTTTCAATGCAAATTGAACAACAAGAATTCCGTAATTGCACGGAGTGTTGTAATTAGAAGATTTTTATGTTCGCGATAACGTCGAATCACTCGGATATGTATTCCGATGCGCTGAATGTAGCTTTCCTGTTTTTATGTCGGCAGAATATTACTTCTTATCCCGAAGATAAATTAGTAGAAATAATATGCAGGAAGAACAAAAAAAAATCGTTAGAATTATACTCGGCTGTTAACGAGAATAGGATAAAAACACCATTTCCGTCAGAAGTAACGTTAGATCTTCGAGAAATATATGCAAAAATGAACAAAAAGATCGATTTGTTCTACCAGATGATAAAACGTATACTAGATGGAAAACTTGAACAAAGTCCAGGTGTAACGATTAGAAATTTAAGAAATTCATTTTTAATTTAAAGCTCGATGCATTGCCACACTGCGAGCCTAATTTCATTAGATGTTGATTGACGTTAAATAAACGAGCGAATAAATTTCTGCGTCGTAACTGGAAATGTACGCGCACGCGCGTACATTTAAATTTATTCCAATATTGGATAGGATAAATACGAGTAGAGAGAAATATTCCAATATTTGCCCAACATTTAGAAATAATTCGGCAACGCGGGTGGGTCAATTAAAAGTTTTCCTCCGCCGCGCCGCGCCGGTCAGAAACGCGCGCGGTCGCGAATCGAATAAGAAACGTCGGCGTGTTTCTCCGCCGAGCGAACTCCCGGCGAACTTCCCTCTCTCGATCGAAACTTTCGCGCTCCGGCGGGCGGTTAACCCGAAATAATCGCGCGGGAACGTAATTTTTGCCGATAGAAAACAAAGATGTTCCTCTCGTAGCCGCCGAATCGGTCGTTAACGAGATTTAACTCACGTTGTTATTAGGATGCGCGATCCTCGAGGAGAGCGGACGACGGCTACTGCTCTCTACCGTATATATCTACGACACGGTATAATTGGCGGGTCGCTCTGTCGACGGAAAAGTCGCGGACGCACTCGAGACGCGGGACGGTCTCGACACTCTCGACGCCAATTATACGCGAGACGCCGGACGAGTTTTCGCGCCGAAACCGCGTTCTGAACGCGGTCGCGCGAGAAGGGGGGGAAGAGCGGAGGGGGTGGAACACGGCAGAGGGGAAAGAGAGAGAGTCCCGCGCGCTTTTCCGCGGACAGAGGTGGAGGGCCATCCCAATTACCCGGCGATTGGCTTCGACGGTATGCGCTAATTGAGAGTATCAATGAACGTCAATGAGCGCAGTCAATATTTGGCCGGGGTGCATCCGGCCGAGCGTTTTGTAACGTTCTTTTTGTTAAAGCGGATGACAAATATTGACCGCGCTCGTTCGCGTTCGCGCGCGTACGTGACACAAACACGCACGCACGCACGCACGCACGCACGCACGCACGCGGCCACTCGCGCGCGCGCGCGCACGCCTGGGGTATCGACTGTTCTCGTTAATTACATCGGGACGACGGTGTCTCCTGCATTATTTATCGTCCGCTACCGGTGCAAGTTATTAAGCGTGCGGCTAGTTACAAGCCGTTTTGTAACTAGCACGACGACCGCCGGACGTATAGGGGGGCAGGTTGCGCCGACTTAGGCCGAACAGTTAACTTCGCTTAACAAAATAGATTCTCCCTCTCTCTCGGTCGCTTTCAGTAACGTTCACGTTCGTTCCCTTTCGCGCGTGTAATTATGCCGCTTATTTGTACCAATAATACGGATCGGTGTGTATGGACTGTTCGCTATCTTGATTAAATTTAAAGTGATCGTATGCATATATTTCTCCGGTAAAAACTGTTGTCTAGAATTCCACAGTCGGAGATAATCAACACTCTGATGCATTATATTCAAGGTTTATCTTATCCAGATGTATATTACGTATATATTTTATAATTTACATCGACAGCTACGTTTTTACGTTGCTTATGTAACATAATCCGATAAGTGGGATAAAAGTCTTAATATATGAATATCTAACGTTACATGAGAATTCTGTATGAGAGTATCGAGTTCCAAAGCCAATCGGAAAGTTAAATAAGTTTAATTATTATCCTATCCGACGCTGAATGCATCCGCGATCGGCGCAGCGGGATTTATTCGATTATATGGACCGTCAACCTCACACTCGGCGTGTCTTACGTGCATCCAGAAACGTAGCTCGAACGTATAGCGGTGAAACTTAAATGCGAGCACGTTTATAAATTTTTATCCAGGGACTTTCGGGCGATATCCGGGAATGGAAGTACATCGAACGCGACACTGGAAGAGACAAACTTGCACTTGGCGGAGGAGCCGCGCCGCTTACGAGCGTTTACGCGCGGAAAAGCACGGAGCAAGACTGACTCCGCCGCCGCCGCGTCCGTCCGTCCGTCCGTCAGTCGAGTTCAATCTAGGAAATTAAAGTGAGCGACCGGCTCGCGCGCGCGGCATTATTTTCTTTTTTTTCCTCTCTTCTCAGGGCGCGCACGTCGCCGGGCCCCCGCCCGCCCTGCCGCCCCGCCGCGTCACCGCGCCGCACACCGTGACGTAATCCGCTATATGTATATAATGGTTATAACATTCCGCGGAATTCCATTATGTTAACGCAACCACGTTCCAATTCTCCGGGTATGCCTGCCTGACTGCCTGTGTGCCATGTATCGTAAATGCGCGCCGTTGTAGTATCGCAACTATTCCGCGGTGCCTTTCCGATTAAAATACCTAATTGATGCGGGCGAGAGGAGCCAATGGCGGATCCAAGCGGAATGCCAAGCCGCGAGAGCGCTGCCAAGCACCGTCGACGTGGAATTTTTTTTCTTACGGGACGAATAAGAGAAAGAAAGGAAGCAGAGAAGAGGGAGAATAATTATACAAGTAGATGAAATGAAATAAAATGTAATTATGCAGATTGCAGTAAATGGACGGAATGCGTCGCTATTTCTAAGAAAAAGAGAGAGAGAGAGGGTAGGGGGAGGATGGAGGGGGGAGGGAGGGAGACAGAGAGGCTGAGGAACTTGTAGAAAAAGAGAAAGCGATGTTTTCATTTATATAAACAGTATATCAGTATTAGCGTGAAAGTTCTTGGATTAATTTATTCAAGATAAAAAGAAATGCAAGTCCGTAAACCACGAAGGAAATGATGAAGTAAGTCGGGAGAAAAAGTGCGGGCGAATAGCGCGCGCGAGATGCTCGTTAGATTACTGACTTGAGCGCCCGAGAGTTTTATTCTCCTTAAATCTAATTCTAATAACTTTATATTCTTCATTGAGGAACGAAATTCTCGAGCGTACAGCGACGGCCGTTCCCGCGCAACGGTCTTGCGATACGTCAAGAAGAGTTTCATTGCCGAAGGTCGGTTTCTCGATGACGCAAGTCTTATCGTCGAAGTATACAAAGTGTTTTTTCGTAGTAGAGAAGATTATTTATATTTTTTAAAAAAAGAAGATATTTCTCTATTATATACGCACACGAAGTGTAGGATTCAAAGTCCATTGTAAAACATATGTATATAAACACGTCGATGACGAAATAACTTGTACTATACGAAAATTTTATCGAATATCACGATTGAACTTCTGTCGATGATATCCAACGCTTTACCGCGACGTATTTCGATGAATGTGTTGACCGAAACGCCCTTTCGTCTCTTCTCTCTGACGTGCGAAAGATTATCGCATGTGCGTAACAGATTTGTCGATTATTATGGCTGGTATTTCATTGCCAATAAGTTTCAATATTTTATCGGTCACACGTTTAATCCACAGACACATTAATGTAAATAATGTAACGAAAAAGCGTGTCCCCCTCACGTTTCCTAAAAGTAGCGCTCGACCTTCCGTATCTCGTTGAAAATTGGGGAATCAACAGAGGGAGCGTCCGCTGAGTTATGAATCGCCCGCCTCCGGCGGCAAAAACCGGAGACAGTAATTATTTATACTTCGAACGGGCCCAACGAGATCCAAAGGGGGCTCACGACGACGACGTATACACGGCACACATTACGCGGTATAAATATAAATTATATTTCACCTGACGCGCGTGGGCCCGGCGATGCGTCTTCTACGATCGCTTAATCGTGCCCTAATCGCATCGATTAATCGTGCATGTAATCGTTCACATACCGAGGAACAGGTTTTCGCGATTATTCACTATAAAAGAAACGTTATTAAGTAGCAATTTAATATTTTTAGCCGATGGTGAAATATGCGGCTTTCGTAATGAATATAGCGTTCAATAATTTGACACACTTGCTAAATAAGATCGAATCTCGATAAATTCATACTGTCAAGGATATTTAGTAAATTTGTTTTTTAAGATACGAGAGCTCGTTAAAAGTTCAAAGTAGATAGATGGTTTAAAGATACAAGTTGGTAAATGGGATACTCCAAACACCACCAAAAATTTTAATTTTAGTTATAGTATGTTCTTCATTAGTATATTATGTAAATTTATATTAGTTATATCCTTACGAGAGACGGAGGAATGTAAAAGTAATGAACTTTTGAGGGTATCCCAAAACCGTCTG